ATACAAAAGAAAAACTAGTGTTTTTATAAAACAGACTATTTTATTCCTGATTCCTTATGCTAAAACGCTAAACAAGGAATGCACTGAAGAAGAGGGCAGAAGCTGTAAATTCAGCCTCATCCCCAAGCAAAACTGCCTATTCCAAATAACCACTCATTGGGATTGACACCCCCACCCTTTGTAACAAACATGTTTGTTAAAGAAGTTTGTGTAGGGAGTTATGTTGCATGCATTGGCTGCAATGGAACATGTGGAGCTTAATTTTATGCTGAAAGAAAAATAAATACAACATGTCTCCTCTATAACAGAAAATGTCCTGCTCTGCAACAATATTCTTTGTGCAATTCTTGTGTCTAATTTCCAGTGAGTAACACTGTTACATAACACACATCTAATTATATCAGCTACCAGGCAGAAAAAAGAGCAGCAAAAAACAGTTAAAATGTGTGAAATATATTTTTCAAAATCAAAATTTGAAGTTCAATTGTTTCCTGATTACTGGTTGATGAAATTTGCATTAAGACAAAATATAGATTTTCTCAGAACAGATATAAACCTGAAAGATGGACATCACTTTCACAACAAGTTATAATAATAAACTATTTTTATATGTCGGACTATGTAAAAAAAAAGCTTTCTTGTGTCCAGGAATCAAATCCTTCACCTTAAAGCACTGTACAAAACTACCACCTAGATGTAGTGCACTACATTGCAGTCTATGAGTGTTTCATTGTCCATTACAACTACAAGGACAGCAAAAGTAGTTAAAATGAACATGTCAAAATGTTTCAGAAAATGTCCACAAATTATATTTTAAACTACCAGAATTTTTTTAGTTACAAAATGCTATTTTAATATTCCCTATCAACTGGTATTAAATCGGTAATACAACTTTTTTTTACAACAATAACAACAGACTGAACTGTGTTGTTATTACATATTCTTAGAAAAGGTTAAAACATTATAGCTTTCGTATTAAACATATCAACATTATATAGTTACAACATGCACATCAATTCTTAAATATTTATGAAAAAAGTGGAATACTGTGTACTTTGTTTTTTATAGTTACCACAACCATCTACTATATGCACATTATGTACAGTACAGATTTCGTTATACTTTCTTTTTATTTTCAGCCATCACAATTTCCCATTAGTTGTAAAATTCCATAATTATATTCCATATTAAGCTAATTAACATGCACAGTATAGAAACAAATTGAATGCAATCATTTCAAAAACATCTAATGCACCACATATCGATTGTCTTGAATTGCATAACACAATGCACTGCGTTACAGGTAATGCTTTTGGAAGAAATACCACATGTTTTGAGACCTGCATCTTTATTTGTTCTATTTTAAATTAACTTACTCTTCCAAAACATCTAATTGTGCTTGATGGATCTTCAGATCTTTCATATTCTTGCAGACTTTGCCAAAAGCACATTCCTTACTCGTTGTCTGTTGCATGGTTCCATTATCTTTGTGTCCATCCACCTGGGGCACACATTCTCCACCTGTCTCGGGCTCGCCTGTGGGTAAAATTCCATGAGTTGATCTGTAGCAAGCTACAGGCCGCCAACCCTCACCACCTCGGTCTTTCCTGGTGGTCACTTTTCTATCCCATAAAAAAAAGAATTAATACAGCCGTTGATGCTTCTAGGCACACCATCAGTGAAGTTTCTGTGAGGTTTTCCAGTTTAGTAGTGAAAAAGACTTCCAGTCTTTACACCTTCAGTAATCAAAACATAATACCCGCTAAGCACACCATGATCTCAAATGCATGTAGGAAATATTCAATTCAATTTATTTTTATAAAGCGCCTTAAACAACAAGGTTGCCCTAAGCGCCTAACAAAGTAACCATACATTTTGTGAATACAAAACAGAAAAGACCAGAATACAATGGAGGAGAGGAACCAAAAACTCCTTAGTAAGGAGAAAAAAAACCTTTGGGCATGCTAACATTATATAATTTAAAAAAGAAATAAATGAATGAGGGTATTAATCCATCCATCCATCATGTCTTCTGTATGTCAGAATAGGTTAAATAGCTTCTCTTTTAAAATATTTCAGATTTGTTTTTAAATTTGAATGTGTTGTAACTGTTAAAAAAATAGTGATTATAATTGCGATTCTACAGTTTAAAATTTTAAATTAATGTTTATAATTTAATGCAAAAAATAGCATGCATCTCCTTTGTTGATGTTGGTGCTTTTATAATAAATCGAATACACATTTATACTTATGGCATAATTACTCAGCAGTTTACATAATATGTTTATGTTCCTAAATTAATATCATTTATGACCTTTAGATGCGTTATGCTCCTATTCTTTTTATGCTCAGCTACAAAAATTTCCATTAAGTGGTAAAATTCCATATAAATATTCAATACTAAGTGGATTAAAACATGCACAGTAAAGAGATTAAATGATTAAATATTTCCATGACCTACCAACGCACCACGAGTGCCCCTATCGGTCATTTTGGCCAGCCAATCACATGCCGCGGTAGGGCGCGGTGGCGCACGCGTAGATGCCTACGGTACGGATTTGTGCCGTGCATTTTGAATGTCTGCATCTGTATGTAGGACTTTTGATACTACTTTTGTATAGCGCACGCTTCATCTGGCACATGTTTTTAAGTAGCATAAACCTTTGTTCTTGTGGCAGGAGGTTACTTTGCAAAAGTATTTAGCATTCAAATGCAGTTGTTATTGTTCCTAAAAATGTAATATCGACATTTTCATTGAAATATGTCGAGCTCTTAGTATTATCCACATGCATTTTATTATATTAGTAATCTCCAAATGAAAACAGGTGGTATATATTGTAGAATCAAGAACTTGACTCAGGTTTGGTCAGAGAAAGGAGTCTTTATTGTGTACACAAGGACCAAGCACTTAGCATGATAGCAAAGTGGAGCTCAAATTACAGCAGCTTACATATAGTATTGTAAGCAGGTTGGGGGAATCATTATCACTAGTGTTGCTAAGCAACAGAGCGGTCAGCAGAAGTTCAAGGACGAGAAATGAGGAAAACAAGGAAGCTAGTGTCCCATATCAGAAGTAGCAAGGAGTACACCCAGAACCTTGAGACCTATGTGACTATCGAACTGGAAACCTTGTAGCTCGCTAGAAACCTTTTAACTCTTTATTACCTCAATATGTTGCAAGTACAACTTACAAAGATCAAAATTCTACTATTTTAAATATATATTTTAATTCAAAGTATATCAGTATTGTTTATTTAATGTAAATTTTAGCTAAAAGTTCCTTTTTTCATTGTTTATCGTTTACCATGCTATATTAGAGGCACTACAGATTTATCACAGGGAGAATGGAACTAGAGTATGCACTGTGTGTCTTCATGTGGGCTCATGTGTACATTTTTACTGGGATGTCATTAACCACCTGTGTGAGTTTTCCAAAGGGCAGTACTCAGTTTGGCCAAATGTCACTGTGCTTGAGTCATTATGGGTGTCCTCAAATTGCTGCACAACAGACGCCCTTATTACTTTAAAGTGCTACATAACATCAGTAATCAATAATACTTGTGAATCAGTAATACAGTTTTAGACACTGTGGACCCACCATGTAACAGTGGCAGCTGCAGTACTGTAGCTATGGTTGTGCATGTTTTGTTGTTGATCTACATATAATAAAATGGTTTGTGATGCAAAAAAAAAGCCAATTTGGTTAATAATTGGGAATTGCTTTTAAGGAAAAATAAATATACACATTGAAACACACATTGAAGGTAATTTAGTGGCTTTATGTTTTTCTCATCTCCAGGAAACACTGTCCAAACTGACTGATTTGATAAAGGAGATTGACTCATTAATGAACACGCAGCTGAATGCGGAGCTGATGGACTGGAAACGTCGCCAGCAGATTGCTTGTATTGGAGGTCCTCTTCTCACCAGCCTGGACCAGCTACAAAACTGGTATGAAATCTGAAATTATTCCTAACTTCTATTTACCATTTATTTGCACTGTCTGAGAAACTGCTTCTTCTCTGTTACCCAAGGAGCCAAATTGGCTTTCAGTTGTAAGATAAACTAAATCTTTACTTGAAAAGGCATATTTGTTATAAAATCTATTTTATCAGATTACTACACTACTAATGTCAATTTTCTTTATTGTGTTCAGTTTTGAGGCCTGCTCTTAATTTAAATAATTTTCCTTATATAGTTATTTTACATCAAGCTTACAGTTTATAGATTGCATGTAAACTGCTGCTATTACACTTCCTAAGATTGCTTTTAAAGAGTTATGGAGGGGTACTGTATGTGTGAACTGTAGGAACTATATAGGGTATGGAAAACTTTTAAGTTGGTAAAGAATATCCAATTTTTAACCATGTGACCTTCAGCTTCTCTATTGCTCATTTTCATATTCCAATTTGAATGCGGTAAGTTGAATTTCCCCATTATTATTAGGTCTCATCTGCTTGTACTACTATACTCCTGGTATCCATATGAGGGATCTGGTTAAAATTTTGGATTAGAACGTTAAGCTCCACTGTATCTAAAAGATACAATTTGAGATAAATACAAACAATTATATTTTTGTACCTATTTGAATTGTCTATCAACAGAGAAATTCAGAAAATTCAGGCCCAATATTCACATGCAGTCTAACTGGCTTTTAACTTTTGCGCACTATTCACATAAATATTGGGTTTGCTGTTTTTTCGGTTAAATTTGAATCTACAGTCTTATGAACCTTTTATGTTTTGTGAGTATTATGAGTCTTATTCACTCCAAGAAGATTCTTCAGGTGAAGCTACTGGTATTTTTAGTCTGTCATATGAAAGAAAACAAAGAAAAAATTACAGTGTCACATCCAATATTAGTCTGGGAAGATATTTTATCAATACAGTATAGCAATGGAAAAATAGATCTAATACACATAAATGTAATCTGCTTGCTAGTACTTAATTGAAATTCACATGCTAGCTT